ATTTTGCTTGAAAGCTCGTCTCTGTCTTGAATTATAATAATTCTCTTTTGTTTCCTTCAAAGACTCATTTTATTTTAATTTTCACATTAGGCTTTCTAATCAGTCTAGATTTTATTTTTGAGGGTGAGAAGTAGAGACTAATTAATTATCTAGCACTCAGGGGATGAATAAAATTAAACCTTTTAATATCTATTTTTTACCATCTCAAAATAGAGGATAACATAAAAGAGATAAGAAACTGTAAAAAAAAAAAGTTTTAAAGCTCATCTTTTCCACTCCAGAAGTCTCCCTTAGGTAACACTTGTTATGGCCTCTGTGAGGCAAATGTTAAATGGTGTTGGTTGCACAAGGGGCATTGGAGATCATTCAGCCACTGCCCATCCTGGCCTAACAACTCAGAACTGATCTCATGGCTCTGTTTGTCTTGCAGAAGAAAGGCGCCATCCTGGAACCTCCAACTAGCCTGCGCATACAGGGGACAGGAAGCCCACACCTTCCTAAGCCTCCAGTTTCTGTGAATCTCAGCAGAAGTCTCTGCTCCCGTCCTCGGGAGAGAAAGCCAGCTTGAGTTTTCAAAACCCCGACTTCGACTTCCTGTGATGACTTCCTCATGCAAAGCTGACCAGAGGAAACCATATTTCTTGACTGGCTGATAAGGGGAAAGAGTGTGTTTGAAGCTGCTCCATTTCCCCATTAATCTGAAGTAGGTCACGCATGGCAGGCCTGTGCTGGCTGTGTGCAGACAGTCTGTGTGCTCCGTGTGAGCAGCTCGCATCCTGCTCCCCTCCTGGTTCCTACACGCTGATGTGAGGACTGATGTCTTGTTACCTTGGTTAACAGGTCGTGGGACTAAAGTCTGTGTGGGGTGAGGAGTGCAGACATCCCCCTTCTCTTGACAGAGAGCTGGCTTGAGTTTGGGGAGCTGCGTATGCCGTTGGCTGCGCGGCTTTTCTTGGGGATTGCTCTGTTGGCCGAGCTCCAGCAGTGTCATCACTGAAGCGGCAAGTTCTGCGGCTTGCCTTTGTAGTTTCCCATTTTAGGGATTTGTTGGTGCTTGTTCCGGAAGCAATGGGATCCTCTGCTTTTGCCTCCCTCCCCCCAAGGCACCCACTGTGTGTGTATACATGTGTGTACATGTATGTCCATGAATCACAGAATTTTCTGCATGGGTATGTTTTATGGCTAGATTGTTTATACCCCCAGAGAGGCTGTGATTAAGGATCATAGTGTGAGGCAGATTTCCTTTGATTTGAAGAACTGCATATCTGGGTTTGTGCCGCTGCGCCTATGTAAAACAGAGATACAGAACCTTCAGTCGAAGAGCAGCCGCTCATTGGGGATAGTCGTTGAGCTTTCTTCAGGACTCTGCTTCTGAGACATCAGGGGGAAGTTAATCCAGGGGAAGCCAGGGTGTGCCAGTTTTCAGAGGAACGGGTGTATTTTTCCACACATTTTTGGGGGAAGTGAAGTCTTGGAGTTTTGAGGAAGTCAAGGGTGAGGTCCGTCAAGACAGTTATTTATATATGTGTGATGTGTATCGAAAGCCTGAGCTTTCGTTCTCCTGTCATCCCGGAACCAGTTCAGAGAAGAGGAAGGGTGTGTCTTGCCTTGTTGAACGTCGACTGCCCTAAGAACGTCTAGTGTGGTTTAGACTTTGGGTAATCTATATGGGGGCTCTGTGGTGTTAGAAGAGTGACCACTTGTTCCTCCTTCAGTCTAGTTTGTGGATAAAAGCTCACTTCCAGTTAGTTGATCCACTGAGGCTCAATGTTTTTTTTTTCTAACTTTCCCAAGATAATCCACAATATGAGCAGCCTGGTGTGTGTGTGTGTGTGTGTGTGTGTTGGGGGGGCTGAATTATCATCAAACTCAAAATGAGGGTGTAGGACTCTAGCAAGCAGCAACAAACCAGGGATCCCTGGTTTTCTACCGTATTAAATAATGTCTCTGTCACCACCCCATCTTTATAGCTCTTGAGTTCTGATTTTGCGCCCACCCCCGGTTCTTTTCGTTATGGGAAATGAACATGTTTGGGGACAAACATGTCAGAATTGTGAGGGAGAGACTTGGCAGTGAGACTAACTGTGTGATATGCTTGACAAGAACTGAGAAACAACACACCTCAGTTTTTTCTTAGACACTTCTCAACTTCTGGTTCAGAAGCATGACTCAGAAGCCACAGAAGGGGAAGCGCCCCTCAACTCAGAGAGGGCTCTCTCAGCTACTCTTTCCTGAGGAGCCAACAGTGGCCATTTCCGGCAAAGCAAACTGCAGCATCCGAGGGAAAGCCTAGCCCTGCTCCATCGGGCGTGTCGGGGACTGAAAGAGAAAACGTTTGTCTTTCATGATGAAAAAAATCAGTGTAAGCGTCCAAAAGACAAATGTCCATAATGATGGGGCAGCGAGGAACTACAAATGGTGGGAAGCAGGTGTGCGTTGGCATAAATATGGAGATTCTTCTGGGGTTTGCTTAACCCCAGTCTTTGAAAGTTGGCCTTTTACGAGAATGAGCTTGGTTTAATAGTGAGCAAATATTAGCTCACATAATTAGAACCCGTTGGGTTGAACAGGAAACATTCGATGGACATCTGCAGGTGCTTGCAAGTAAGGACGGTCTTGGTATGTTGATTCCCTCTCTTTCCCTCAAGGGGGGTGTTCCTGGAATGGAGCCACTGGCATGTGAGAGGAGACAGACAACTTGTAAAATGCATGAACAGCACAGGAAGGCTCTCAACTCTGGGGAAGGTGTTAAAGGTGTCCCCAGATTTTCATGTTTGTTTGTTGGAGGGGTGTGGGCATCTCCTACCCCACCCATCCCTTCCAGAAAATGAGATTTGTAAGCTTCCTCTACCTCAGGGGTTGAGTCTATTACCAACTCCACTTCAGGTTTCACACACTAAAGGAAGAGTTCACTATGATTTAAGAAAAAAAAAAGTCAGCCTGCTTTCTCAAATCCAGTTTCTCTTGGCAGCCTTCATCGTCAAGCGGCTGGTGTTGAATGGGAGACAGGTTCAACTCTGACTACATTAAGTCCTTTCCAAACCAGCGTGGAGACGAATCAATAAATGGTTGTGTGACTCACTCCAATGCATAGGAAGGTGTGATATATACCATGAGAGAAAACAAACAAAGCATTGATGGAAAATTGATCGTATTAGTGAGGCTTATCTGTGCTGACATTCAGGATTAGCCTGAAACATGAGTTGAATACTGACAGATTAAGAAGAGGGCACCGCTAGTATGTCTATGTTATTTGTGTGTGGGGGGGTGGGTACATGTGTGTACATACATGTAGAGATGAGTGATCAATCACTTGGAGGACCTCAGTCACTTGAAGAACCAACCTGCTTCCATTTAGGCTTTAAAGCCATCTTTGTAAAGACAAAATAGGTTCATCCCTGTTTATGATTAAACCTCTGTTTCTCAGGGACTGGGCTATGCCCCGTCTATAACCTTAGCTAGAAATGGCCCTGCATTGTCTGTTTCAGGAATGACAATTGTGCCTTTACTTCAAAAGGTTGCTTATAACCATCGTGCAACCCTACCTTTGTTTCAAAGGGGTGTGGGACCACCTATGACTATCTTGTTATGACTGACTGCCTGTTGTTATGACTACCTTGCTATGCCCACCTTGCAACCACGTATTTGTTTCAGGAGCCTAGGCAGGACTAGCTTATGTTTATTTTCTGTTCCTGTAATGCTACCTATTTTGCCTGCCACATCCCCCATTTGGAAACCCCCTACCCCTGAGCTATAAAATCCTTGTTCTCCTCAAATCCAATGCTGACCTTCTGAACTCTGCCTTAAGGGGAGGCAGCCCATGTGCACTAGTAAAGAAGCCTGCTTTAATTATTTGCTTGCCTTAACTGATTTGGCCATGATGATTTGGATCGGTGGTCTTTCTCCTCCTGTCTTTGGGATTAACACACGCTCCACTATATTTTGAAACAGGGTCTCTCACTGAAGCTGGAGCACACTGATTTGGCTAGACTGGCTGGCTTCCGGTTTCCAAGGAGTTGCCTGTCTCTGCTGCTTCAGTGCTGGGGTGACACTAAAGAGAACAGCTTTTACCTAGGTGCTGGGGGTCAGAACGCATGCCCTTCTGTTTGTCTAGTGAATGGTTTCCCACCCCTGATGGGACTGTGGTATTTTGTAATACCAGCTGTATCATAATCATGTCCTGGCACTTTTATAGGACTGGTCCTGGCTGGCTCTTCTGCTGATAGGAGCATCCCGACTGTCTTTCAGTGGGCCAGGTCTCGCCTACTCTCAGCCTAAGTGGCTGAAGTGAGATTGGTTTCATCTGGGCTATAAGGCAGGTAGTGACCCAGTCAGGCCTATCAGAAACTATTTCCTTAGCACAATGATTGCCAGTTGATTCTAGGGCAGGCTTGCGTTTCAGACTGAACTAGTTTGGGAGTTTTTTTTTCTTTTTCTTAAACTATTGTTTGTTTTGTTTTTTTCTTGATCTATAGGTGACAGGGCCTCTTCTTTCTGCTGGGAGCCCAAACTGCTGGGCTCTCATTCTGAAGCTTCAGGATACCTGTCCACAGAGGGAGACGTCTAGGGATAGGGATAGCCTTCAATGTTGGATCCAGTTGGAAGTAAAACTCTACTCTTGACCATTTTAATAATTTGACCCAATATATTCACTTTTTAAATCATTTTGTGCTTGTCCCTAGCAAGGAAAAAATCTTACAAAAGTCTTTATCCGTTGCTTTAGAAAGAAGCTGTGCTGAGGGCAGCTGCAGATACAAAGCAGGCCCCAAGGTCTTCGCACTAGTCACCTAAGTAAGCTTTTCAGCCCTCAGCAGCAAAGGCTTTGAGACTTCAGCTCTCTGGTCTGAGACCTTTTAAATCTGTATGGGCTACGTATTTTTCCATGAATCAGACCAGAAATATGCAGCTCGGTAGCCACAGGGCTGTAGCGCCCTGCCAATTCGCCCTTCGTCTTTCCAAGCCCTTTTTTTTCATGTGTCGCATCAAGTGAAGAGGCATAATGACAATCCAGTTGGATTTATTAGCGGTTGAGTAGACTATCAAGAACATATTTATTAACCAAGAAGTGAGTTCAATGTAAAAGAACTGCACAGAGTCCAAACCATGTCTCTATAATACGTTTTCAGCTCCTTCAGGAAGACTCCCAGCTAAAGGCCACTTCTTGAAATGTAGGATACACGGCTTTCCCTGAGCGCTACTATGCCTTGGGTACTATGAAGTTTGCTCACAGTCTCTCTGAAATTCAACAGCTCATCAAGGTAAGTTCTAACCCCACTTTAGGTGGAGGATGAGGAGAACACTAGTCACTACCCATGTTTTCTCCTTCGTACCCACAGGCAGACAGTTCCAGGTAGTGAGTGCTTCCGGGTCAAAGGTGAGATTCTCCTAGATGTTTGCTGTCCTCAGCCGTGGGTGGCCTTGTGGCACAGATCTGGTTGGTGAGATGAGGGGGTGCTGACACTTGTCGTTTCTTCCGGTCTGCGATGTGGGTGTGAGGCTAGCAACAAAGAAGCCATGCTGCAGTCTTGAGCTAACCACAAAGAAGAAAGACACACTTGAAAGCTAGAGGGACAGGAAACGGGAAACCAGCCAGTGTCTGATTAATCCAGCGAGGCTGGGATTCTGGTGGGTGACTGAACACAACGCCTAACTGATTCAGAGAAGGCGGGCTGGAAGTGAAGGGGTTTGGTCCCGTGTGAAGCGGAACCTGGTGTTGAGTGAGATGCGGTATCTACCTGGGAGCGCACATCCCGGTTTGGAGTTTGGGAGACACCTGCATGAAGAAACGTTCACAGCGTCACTGAGAGCGCCATGGGGAGCTACGGGAGCAAAAAGAGAAGAAACAGAAGTGGCGATGAAGTTGGCTCGACAGAAGAAGAGAGGCAGAAAAGGAGATTATTATAGCTGGAGATGAGTGGAGCGAGGCGGCACCAACGAGCCAGGGGCCACAAGCTGTCTGCGATGTTGGGCAGAGGCAGCTCATTCAGCCGTTGCCATAGCATTCAAAACCAAGTGGCTTACCTCCATTTTGTCATTTCCCGTAATTCTACAGCCTGAGCTGAGTGCAGCTGGGTGGTTCTGCTTATAGAGCGTAATTTGGGGTTTGGACACTCAAAACAAATCAAAGTAAAACAAGAAGCTTCTTTACTTGACTACTTGGTGCCTCTAGCCAATTGCCTGGGCCTCCCTGTCTTCCTTCATGGAGCTTCTGTGTGGATAGTTTGGGCTTCTGTGTAGCTTGGTGAGTTTTGTGTGGTTGGATTTCATTCCCGTGCATGGATGGCTTCCGGGTAAGAGGAAAAGTGGCAGTGCGCTTCATGTGTGGCCCCAGAAGCACAGGAACGTCATTTCCTGTAAGTTGCACTTTCAATGCGTCATTCTGTTGCTCAAAGCACACTCAAGGCAGGCCTGGTCAAGTCAGGAAGTGTCGTCTGCTTCTGGTGGGAAGGGGGACACAGCCAGGTGGAGGGAGGTGCATTAGTAGTGGCCTTCTTAGAGTTCCTGTGCCAGGGCGGAAGGGCAGGGTGAAAGCCGGCCAGTCCATTTCTCAGGAAGGTTGATATGAACACCAGACCTGGGATTTCTGCTTCATATCTGAAATGGGAAAGGAGAATTCCTCTCATAGCCTGATTCAGCTTTAGTAACGAGGAACAAAAATTGTGGTTCGGTAGAGGACTGGGGTTTGGCTTCTCCGAGCCCCCCTTCACGTCCATGTGGTACGGAGAAAGCACAAAGGTTCACACCTGTCGTGGAGATGCTGGAGTCGAGGGTCAGAGTTTTCTCTGGGAGCCACAGAGATGAGGGGACTGAGGCAGGTGCTGGATGGAGACACAGTCAGAGCTAAGGTGGGGTTTGTCTGGGCGAATCTTTGAGTCCCGACTAAACTGAGAGATCCAACAAAGGGTTCCCTAACACTTGCAAAAAAAAATATGACCAAGGGTGTAGAGGACCTGGCATCAGCTCCAGACACCCATCTTCTAACTCTCCCAACGATTACCTATGAAGTCACAAAAGAGTGCAGCTCTCCCACTCCAGAAATAACCAGGTCCAGGACAGACAACCTAAGGAGATGAAAACACCTGAAGAGTTGAGAGTACACCCGAGAGGCTAAAAACATGCCCGAGGGGGCTGACAAACTACTAGTGGGGCTGAGAGCATCCTTGAAGGGTTAAGGATGCTGGGGGCGGGTGTTAAAATACACCTCAGTGGCTGAGGACACTCTGGAGGGGCTGGGGACTCTGTGGAGGGGCTGAGGACTCTGTGGAGGGGCTGAGGACTCTGTGGAGGGGCTGAGGACTCTGTGGAGGGGCTGAGAACTATCTGGAGGGGCTGAGGACTCTGTGGAGGGGCTGAGCACACTCTGGAGGGGCTGAAGACTCTGTGGAGGGGCTGAGGACTCTGTGGAGGGGCTGAGGACTCTGTGGAGGGGCTGAAGACTCTGTGGAGGGGCTGAGGACTCTGTGGAGGGGCTGAAAGCACACTTCAGGGGCTGAGAACACTTCTGAGGAGCTGAGAACATTCTGGAGGGGATGAGAACACTCCAGAAGAGCTGAGAAAACTCCTGAGGGGGATCAGAACTAGCCTGAAGGGTTTGTGGATATTGTTGACACTGTTGAAGGATTTGTAACACTCCTGAAGAGGCTGAGAATATACCCAAGAGGCTAAGAACACTCCTGAGGGGCTGAGGGAGATGATGTCAGTGGTCTCTTCATAGCATTTCCTATACTGTACTGAAGTTTACCCAGCGAGAGACTCTGAAGGACAGATAAGTTAAAATGGTTGGTGGCTTGGAAGTCAAGCTGAGGGGATTAGTAATTTACAAGCTGTGGAGTGTGGACAGGGTTTGTAGGTGATGGGATGGGTGAGGTCCTTAGCCCTGCTGTCTGAGATGAGAGCATCCAGGTGGAGGAGCTATTTAGGTAGAAAGTTGAGTTCAGTCAGCAGGTAGCTTGGGTTCTGAGGTGGTTGTGGGATATCTGGGAAGACACAGTATGAAAGGACGCAGTAGTAGGAAGTGTTGGAGGCTGTAGCATCGGTGCAAACAGAAGCAGGTGAGAAGCACTAAGGGAAAGCAGAAGAGAGAACCGTGGAAGGGCTGGGGTTGGTGGGAGGCATCAGTTGTTCTCAGTCTCACAGAACCCCTGCCCCTGGGGCTTTGAACTCACTAAGAGAAAACACACACCCTCCCCATAAGAATCCCTCTTCCTGGGGTAAGGCGATGCAGATTGACCCTCTGCACCCACTGTATCCAGTTCTGTCTAGGTTAGCCTGCCTGTGGGATTGGCTTTCCTTTCTCTTCAGAAACACTGAAGGAGCATAGAAGAGGCTTCCCCAACTTCCACAGAGCCAGCTGAAGTCCGTTTGAACCCAAGAGGCCCCACCCTTCCCTTCAAGGTCAGACGTGACGAGGTTGCAGAGCTCCTGACCTATGGGCCTTGGCCTCCCAGGTCAGAGGCTGCTTTCCCCTGAAGTCTTTTGGGAGAAAGGTGAGGAGAGTGGGTGGGAGCTGCAGGGTTGCATCCCGAAGTCTGTCTGGGTACTGTGGCTTCCGTGTCCTCACGGTTGTAGCAGGCATTTCTGAGCCCATTGCCTTTTTCGTATTTATTCTGGCAGCCCTGCCCTAGGGCCTCAGAGTGAATGTACCAACACTGAGCTCCTTGGAAACTTCACATCTTCAAGTCGCCGGCACCACACTCCCCGGCCTCTTCTTTTGAAGAAGGAATATGATGTTATTAATAAATGACATGATTTCCTTTGGGTGGGTTTGTTGGCAGTCACAGCAACATGCACAAGCTGTTCTGAGCAGTGTTGGTTGTCAGTGACTTTAGGGGAAGCAGATCTGAGAGAGACTATAGGTGGTCCGGCTCTTATGTTGGTTCCTCATTCCCCTGTCTTTGTAGTTAAATAAACACAAGGCTTTGTCAGCCTGTGTTTATCCTTGGTGATTACCTGAGCATTCTCTCTTTGAACCAGAAAAAGAAAAGGTTTTTTTTTGAATGGTGGTGGTGGTGGTAGTGTGTGTGTGTGTGTCTGTGAGAGAGAGAGAGGGGGGGGGGGATGTTCAACCAATCGTGTATGTTTAGAAGCTAGAAGTTGATATTAGAATGTCTTTAACTGGTTATCAACCATATTCTCCTTTCTCTCTCCTGTCTGTCTGTCTGTCTGTCTGTCTTTAACAGGGTTTCTCTGTGTAGCCCTGGCTGTTCTGGAACTTGTTCTGTAGACCAGGCTGGCTTCTAACTCACAGAGATTCGCCTGCACCACCACTGCCTAGCCAACCTTATGTTTCGAGTCAGAATCCCTTACTGAGCCTGGATCTCATCGTTTCTGCTAGACTGGCTGGCCAGGGAGGCCCTGAGGTCTACCTGCCACCATCTTCCAGCCCTGGGATTACAGATAAGTATCATCACTCTTGGGTTGCACGTGGACCCTGGGGATGTGAACTCACGTCCAAATGCTTGCACAGCCAGTACTCGAGCTGTGCCCCAGGGTGCATTGGTTTCCAATTTGGATTCCAGTGTGATGTTTACATTCTAAACTGGACAGACTCACAAGAGGGGAGGGGGAGTGGGTAGGAGTGGTGATGTGGGGTGAGGGTGGGTGGGAAGGGTGAGGTGTCTGCCATAAATTGGGATTGAGGAAATTTAGGGGAAGCCAAAGCAACAAAGCAGCATTTCAGAACCAGGGAATTTCTCAAAGCATTTTTCCAAAACAGTAGATTTCAATTACAGTAGGGAGATGGATGGTGGGAATGCAAGAGGGTCTCAGCTTGCTTAAAAACAGCCTGGCTGTCAAGAGCTATGCAGCCGTATAATATGGTAATCGAGGAAAGAACGTTTTCATGCAGCAAATACTCCAATGATTCACTCCAAACAGATCCTGGAGTTGCTTCCAGGGTGGTTCACTCACCAGCTTGGAACTCACCAGTATAAACGGCAGCCTTCTGGTGCAAGACACATGCCAGCGTAAGCAGGCACAGCAGAGGGCAATCCGCACTCTCTTTTCTTTCTGCTCAGGCAACTGGCATTCATGCAACTGAGGCAAATCCCACTGGCTTCTCAGCTCATGCCCCTGCAGCCGCTTCCAAGAGAGCAGGCTGGGATGGAAGGCTCAGCTGGGACCTGACCACTGCCTTGGGGTTTGCTTCTCTTGTCTGGAACATCTGACCATCTCTCCTGATTGTTTTCTAACTATCAGAACCCTTTCAGCCATCCCTCTGACTCTGGGCTTGTGGGTCTGTGATAGTTGGCCTATTCCAGCCCTGCTAACTCGGTTGACTCTGGGATAGGTGTTATTAGCTGGGGGAGAGTGGGGGAGGGGTGAGTGAAAGGCCTAGGCACAACAGTTTCAGGAAACTGCATTGTAATCCAGTCTCCAGAGAGGTCATTTTAAAGGAATTTCCAGGCATGTGTGTGTGTGTGTGTGTGGTGTGTGTGTGTGTGTGTGTGTGTGTGTGTGTGTGTGTGTGTAAGGTGGGCGGAAGACTACGATAAGGCAGAGGAAACTGGAGGGCTAGGAAGAGGATGGTGAGGAAGATGGGAGGAAATGGTGACTGCCATTTATTAGTTCCTTCACCCACGTCCCAGCCATGCTACGATGCTCAGGTACATTATCCCAGGCACCCAGGATACACGTACATGCTATCCTTATCTACCATGGTCAAATTAAACCCCTTTAAAGCAACTTAGGAAAATCGTATCACTCCTTCCTTCCTTCCTTCCTTCCTTTCTCCTTTTTCTTCTTCTTTTTTGTCTGAGACAGGTTTCTCTGTGTAGCAATGGCCATTCTGGAACTGGCTCTATAGACCAAGTTGGTCTCAAACACAGAGACCCACTGCCTTGTGAGTGCTGGGATTAAAGGCATGTGCCACCCCCCCCCAAATCACTCAATTTCTACAGGCAACATTCAGCAATTCTTACAAGGCTCCTTACTGCAGGAATCCCATTTCGGGGAATCTATAAAAACTCTAGAATAATTAAAACAACAGCCATCGTGTATTGGATGGTGAGTATACTGAGGGGTTTCCACGTGTTGAGTCAGCCCTGAGAGCAGATAGTGTTATCATCATTTGAGACTGGTGGGGCAAGACCTCGCCCAAGACCTGTGCTACCAGGTAGATCTACACCGCTAGAGTGGACCCTCGAAGAGGCTAGTATCTCTGGACCCAAAGTCTCGCCCTTACGTTCCGTGAGGAGTGGCCACAGGTGACACATGTGCCTCCTCATCTGCCCAGTGTCCTCACCCCCATCTCTCAGACCATTTCAGTCTCTCCATTTTCTGGTTTCCTTCAGTGCAGCACAGAAGTGCCTAAGCCCTTTTCCTCCGGGCACAGTCTTGCTCAAGAATGTGGCCCAAGGGTCCAACTCAGAATTTCTGGGGAGTATCTACAAGTGCTGGCCCACTGCATTGGAATCCCTGCTCCAGACTCTTGCTGGGTCTTCACAGTAGGAGAAAAAGCACACCGATTCAAGTCTCCCAGGCGCAGGGACTGGGCTTGCTCTGTTCCCAGCTGAGCACCTGGTGACACTTGGCGGGATTCCCTGGGAGGGACGTGAGAGTAAGGGTGGAGGGACATGTGGAGTGGCAGTTATGGGGTAGCTGGAGAGGGAAGGGTGTCAGAGTGTTTGCAGGAGAATGAGATAGAGCAGGGACTCTCTCACTGTCCTCTCCATCCCCTTTCTCCCTCAGACACATGATTCAGTAGCAGAAAATAATCTTTTGAAACTTGAACTCCAAATGCCAGAATGAGTAATTGGGTCTAAAGTGGGTCACAAGGAAGTGATCACTAACACACAGACTATTTTAACTGCTGAATCAGAAATCTCTACACCACGGTTTGAATACACAGGAAGGAAAATAAACAGATGATAGGAATGGAAGGAATCCTACCATAATATTTCCACCCACAAATTCTGCCTTAACACACACTCAGGAGGCTGGAGGATGCTCCGTGACTCCCAAGAGCTGGAGAGTTGAAATAAAACAGATAAGAAAAGCCCCAGAAGAGGTAGACGCCACTGGGGATCGCGCGAGCCTCGCCTAAGAGCATTCTCGGTCCATGGGTTTTGGTTGCTCTGCTCCACCACAGCAGGCAGGTGTGCAGCAAGGCAGGAATACCCTAAAATAAACTCATAAATAAAGACTTAGACATCTGTTTCATCCTCCCCACCTCGTATAAGCAAAACCCGCCTCTTTGGATTCTACTGACTTCACCCTTGTGTGTGGGAGTGGTGGTGAATGTTTGTGTGGTGCACATGTATGAGCATACACATGGAAGCCAGAGGTCAGTCTTGGATGTTGTTCCTCAGAAGCCAAAACCTTGTTCCCTCAGACAGGGCTTCTCTCTGGCAGAAGCTTCAGATGGGTGGTCCATGAGCCCCAGGGATCCTCCTGTGTCTGCCTTCCAGGCTGGAGTTACAAACATATACTCCCTTTGTTACTGTTGTTTTTAATTTAAATGTGGGCTTGGGGGACCGAACTCAGGCCCTTATGCATACACAGAAAACCCTTTATGAGCTATCACCCCAGCCCCAGATTTTTTGTGATAAATATACGTAACTTAATATATGTTATTATTTGAATCATTCTTTTGTTGTTATTTTTAGATGAGGTTTCTAGGCTGGCCTAGAATTTGTTATGCAGAGCAAGATGGTTTCGAATCCACACAGAGCTCTGTTTGCCTTTGTCCACCAAGACTGGAGAGTAAGGCTGTGCACCACTGTGTACAATTCTACCCATTCATTAGTGTGCAATTCATTGACATTGAATACATTTCTGGTGTCTCACAACCAACATGATTTCTAGAACTTTATCTGCACAGAAATTGTACCAACAAGCAATAATCACTTTTTTCTTATCTTAAGCCCTTGAAAACATCACTCTACTTTATTCCCCTCTTAATCTAATAACTTTGTGTGTGTGTGTGTGTGTGTGTGTGTGTGTGAGCGCACATGTGTGGATGGGTGGGTGCTGGAGTGATGTTACAAGTGCGTGTTGCAAGGCAATAGGACCAGAAAAGCTGGGTTCATGTACAGCCATGACCCTAGCATAAGGGGGGCTGAGGCAGGAGGATCATTGGAACTCACTGGTTACCATCCAGGAATAGAAAGGAATGAAACAGAGAGTGATAAAGGAAGACACCTGATACTCACACATATACACCACACACACATACACACAGACACAACATAAACATGTACAACATGCACACATATACAACACATGTAGATCATACCCACACACATCTATACCACACATTCATCTCTCTCTCACACACACACCACACATACACACACATATACAACACATATATAACACACACATATATACTACATAGCACACTCATACACATATAACACACACACACACACACACACACACACACACACACACACACACACCAGCATGTCTGTGGCAGTCCCTTGAGGCCTGACAAATACAGGGGCTGCGGATAGGCCTGCAGGAATGCTTGCCTAATCAGTGGCTACTTCAGAGGAGAGGAACCCAGAGCTAATGGACCCCACATCGTATCCAAGGGGCCGAAGATAGGCCTGCCCTTTGCTCTGTCTTCCAGGTTCCAAGCAAGCCCCCCTCTTGCTTTAGAGACATGGCAAATCTGTTTTCCAAGGCTGTATGTCATCCACACATCCTTGGAAAGATGGTCACATGACAGGTGGCCGGTATCTCTGGCCACAAGCTACACAGGAATGTGTGGGAGTGTGCAGAACTGTTTCCAGTATGCTCCATTTCAAGGCCTTCGGTGTCTTTTTGGCCAGAGCTACCTCACATGTCTACCTCTAGCCATGAGACTGAGCGCATCTGGGTGAGTCTGTGGTAAAATTGTGGTTCTATTTGCAAGGAGGTAAATGAGACTTGAGCATCCTTGGGGCAACGCAAGTTTTATGTCCAGGTGTTCTTCATCTGTGTGACCTGTGGGAACACCAGACCTTGAGCAGAGACCCACTTCCCCTTCTGCCTGGGAGTAGGCAGCTGTAAGACAATGTTTAGTAAAAACATGTTTACTAAAAATGATACAATAAGTTCCTGGGAAAGGCCTTCCCACGGAAACCGCCCTGACCTCGACCTTGTCCAGAGACTAACCGCACCTTCAAAAACCCACACACATCCACCTCTGGGTCAGAGCGGAACCAGCCAGGGTAGAGGAAAGAGCAGAAGCTTCTCTGGTGGGAGCTTTTCTTAGGAAGTTTTTCTTGAACCTTTTTGGAGCCTGTTTAAAGTTTTCTTTATATCATTGAACGAGTCTCTGTGTTTTCAATACCCGACACCCTCCGCACGTTCTCGGACACAGGCCGCGCAGCAGACGTGACAGTGACCGAAGTCCTTTTCCCATGGTGCAAAATAAAATAAGATAACATCATGGCTTATCGATTTGTCCAGAAGTAATTTGTACAACTCAGACACAAACTCCTTGCCTTTAGTGCCCCCAAAAGTATCCTTTTATTGGTTTTGAGTAAGTTATTTGACTTCATCTAAGTGTGGTACACAGTTTCGAAGCTATAGCTGAGTAGAGTATGGCTCACAGCAGTAGAGTGCTTGTCTAGCCTGGGCAAGTCCATAGATTCAGTCCTCAGAAGGGGTCGGGAGAAGCATGTCATGTGGTGCTCCTTAAATGATCTGTTTTTGGTGGTTTTGAAACGAAGTCTCCCTATCTTCCCATGTAACCCAGGCAGGTCTTGACATCCTGTCCTCAGCTGCCTGAGCTGGGATTACAGGCCTATACCTACTATCCCACTTGGCTTAGCCTTTGTAATGAAGAAAAACTCTGTCTTAGAAGTTCCTCCATTTTTTTTCTTTTGGAATATCTATAGCTTAGAAAACACACTTTACCCTGCAAACATATAGGTGGTTAGAAAGAGATTTATAAATATGCCTTTTCTGGTATCATTTATTTTAAGAGTATTTTTTCACCCCACGACAGTCACTTGAGGCTGACAGCGTTTCCATGGTAACCACGTTCCTCCCATAAAAAAACACTGGATGCTGATAAATATCGATCCTTTAATGTCTCAACACCTTTGATTACCCCGTCTTGAGTCCCCACGTGAAAGGGCTTCATGTTAGGGCATAGGCCACGCCCAGCATGGCAAGGAAGTGCTCAGCAGATCTGCTGTTTCTGGCGGGGGATGTGAGGATCCCAGGGGGAATCTGACTCAGCCTGCATGGTATGGTTCACTTCCCCCACCAAAACGGCTTTGTTTGCTTTTCAGCTGCGTGGAGAGCTCGGAAGCTATCCTGTGCCAACATGGAAGGGGCGAGGTGGGGTGGGAGCGAGCATGCCTTTCCCACAGAAGTTTGCAAATGACTTTTCAAAGCCTTTGCTACATGATTTTTGAAATACAAATGCTCCTCTCCTGAAAGGGAGGGAAGGTTTTGAATCAGGGCCATGTAACTTGGTTGATTCAAATCCGAGTCCAGGGGCATCATGGGAGTAGTGGGCAGGACTAGTGTAGGGTAGACGAAGAGAGGCTTGAGTCTCTTCTGCAGTAAAGGGGAGAGAGTTTTGCTTTCAGCAAGGTTGTGTGTGTGTGTGAGAGAGAGAGAGGCGGGGGAGGGAGGCTTGTTAGAGAGAGCAACTTTGAAAACTTAATTTTCCTTGCCAAGAGCTAATGGACCGTCTGCAGTGTGCATGAAATTACTTTCTGAGCAGCCGAGAGAGAAGCCAAAGGGAGGCCTCTGCAGAGTGAATTTGGCATCCATCTATCATCTCCGTGAGACAATCTGGAGGCTCTTGCGTTACTCTCTGCTGTAACCAAGAAAACAAACAAAGGCCCCACGAAGCTTCACTGGGCAACAACTGGCCACTGGAAAGGAACTGGAACCAAGATAGAGTTGCTTGGGTTTTATCCTCGAGTCTCCGAAGCCCAAGAGTGCTCAAAGGTAGACATGATTCTTCCCCGTTCCATTTAAGCTTAACCAAGTCAGCACAGAGGTTTGTAATGAAAAGATTCTGCATGCAGACCACCCAGTATCCTGATGTCTTGAGAACTTTGAGGAGAATAAAGGGGTTCCAGAGCTATCTTCCTATCTTTGTCCTATGTTTGCAGAGGTGAATGTGTTTTCCTGAGGCACACATCTAGGAGACAGCGCAGTTAGAGAAACCCTTCATTTGTCCCCATAGCCAACCTTCATGGAGCCCTGGCCACCAACCAGCTGTTTTTTTCTCTAGGACTTCCCAACTAAGACTTGGCTGGAGGCTCATCCCCCCTTCCCAAGAAGGTCAATGTGACAGCTGACACAGAGACGTTAAGAGACTTGTACAAGATCACACAGCTAAGGTTACAGAGCACCACACTCTGTGTAAAACTGACATATAGGGCCACTCTAGTTTTGTGGCTCAGGAATGTCAGAGTAAAATGCTACAACATGGAGAGAGAAAATCGGGCTGTGGCAAACTGTAGGGATAGTCGGAGGCTCTTCAGGCAAGAGCAGTGTCTCTCAGGACAGTGCACAGTCTCGTCAGAGATGTGCTGGCACGCTCCCCCGCCTCAGAGGTCTACCCAGGCTTTTTTTTCTGCCAGGGTCACTTGCCCCCTTCCACTGGGGTGACTGGAGCCACAGAGAGAAGCCCAGGCTGCAGGCTGCCCCAAGCCTGGCTGCTCTTCTCTTGAGCCAACAAGGCAGAAGAGGGAACCATTGCTAGAGCAGTTCTCCTTCAAATAATCTTTCTGAGATGAGTCCTGTCTGTTTGGGTGTCTGTGCTTCTCAGCAAATCCTTTCAGGCTCCAAAAGGATAACTTCTGATAAGCATCCAGTGTCCTTGCATTCTGGTCTTGGGGGGGGGTGGCGCAGAGTGGATCCCAGTGTTCCTTTTCTGCAAGGTCCCTGTTGTGCTAAGAGTAGCAAGGTCTGAATACCAAGCATCTTATCAGCAAAATGCACCCCAGGTTTATGTTGCCTGTGCTCTCCTGGGAATGGAGCTCTGTTTAATCCAGACAATGAGTTTGGAACTGGGATGGAGTAGTCTGTTGTTGGGAGTTAGAAAGCTCAGGCTGACGCCTTCCTCCGGAGTTTCTTTACCTGCCCTTCAAACCGGAAGAGCCTCAACTTTGCCATTATTGATCCTCTGGTTATGAAAACTAAGACAAAGCCCTCACCCCAGCACAGTATGACAGTGTTTTGATTTTAAAAATACATGGGCACCTCTATTAAAGTGGATAACTGCATCAATTAACACCGTTTAAAAACCCCATATCAAGCCCCGTTGGATGAACCCACAGTATGTAATCTCAAAGGTTTGGTTTAACCAGTGTTTGAGCACACAGGTTAGCTGCTCCTCTGAATATTTACTGAAAAGAAACATCACAATTAGGGATAATTGTTCACATCTGCCTGGCGATGCTTCCATTTGGAAGGACAACGTGAAATTAGGAGTTACAATAGCTTTCCGTTTGTAATGAAAATTGAGTTGGCAAAATTCAAGCCAAGGAAAGGCGTATATTCCGAGAAGATATTCTCGACAGGAGGACTCAAGGTAACAGGCTTTGTTGGCAGACATTGTTTTCTTCGTTTGATTATTTGGCTTTTGCCCAGGTGAGGTGGGAGGAACAGATGTTTTGACTCTAGTGAGACAATAATTCCCTTCATGGCTGTTTGACTGCCTCGTTTGTGCCACTCATCGTGATTGCAAGGCTGTCTGTGGCACCCCCCAAATGTACCATGAGGGGCCAGGAACCCATCCTCCCAGCTCCCACTGTCTCCAACAAGATCGTGTTCCAACATCCTTGATGCTGGGAGACGAGTCTCCTTAGCTGCTGATGCTGACCACAGACTGGTCTGTTGCCCTGGGCCCAGCCCAGGGAACTGAGAAGGTTAATATCATAGTCAGAAGCCAGGTACAAAAGAATGACCTGCACCTGGAAAACCCAGTTCCGGGGAAAGATGTGAACAGAGAGAGGGAATGTGTGGGGGCTCTGGCTGGGGATGTTGAAATGTGCTGTGAGTTAATTTTCAGGCCACTGTGTAGCCCAGGCTAGCCCCAAACTTGTGCTCTCCTGCCTCAACCTCTTTTGGGCTGGGATTACCAGCGGATGCTACCACATCTGGCTTAGAAGTAGAGAGCTTAACGAAGGCTAAAGGTGTCTAGTTAAAGAGGACTCAGTGAGTGGCCATAAACAGAAAGAGAAGATACTGTCCAGGGATCCTTGCTGAAGGGAGCTCAGCTTTTGAAGATAAGAGCTTATGGTGAGAGCAATCGCTGCTAGAGTTGGGTCTCTTTGGAGGAGATACAAGGTGAGGTCTGAATGCAGAAGCCAGACTTGTTCTGCAGGGTGAGGCAGAACCTGCTGGCTGCTTACCAAGATCCTTTCTCTCCTTTTCCCTTGACACGACTGGATTTGAATGTGGTGATGTGCCCACTTGAAGGCGTTGGCAGCCACACCGGTAGCTTGAGGCACCAAATCAGTAAGGTGCGAAGCAGATATTTTGGAGGGAATCTTCTGAAAGGACTTTGTAAGAGGGAACAGACGGCTGACATGCTGTTCCCCCTTCCTTCCTAGGACAGGTAGATCGGTGGAGTAGCTGTGACTCTGGCTGCCATGTTGTGCCATGAAATTATTTTGAAGTAGAAAAGTCATATATGAAGGTTTCTGGAAGAAAGGACAGAGAAGCCTGCAGTCTTGATGACACTGTAGGTCCCAGGCCAGGCAGACACCAGCTCTCCCTGGAGAAGGTAGCAAGCTTTGTCTCCCTGGAGAAGGCCAGGCTTTCATTGTTGAATCACTGCTACTTCCTCATTTACTGGGCACCACAGACCTAGGAATCCTGGGGAAAATTTAAGGAGTACAAAGCTGTATCTGCTTTGCTGTGACTATTTCTTTAAGAGAAATTAACATGAGATTAAACGACATGCATAATTTCTGAGTTAAATCACAAAAAGGAACCAGAACATAATGTACTGTGGTATAGTGTATGTATTGGGCTTAAACAAAAAGCAAAAAGAGGCTCTGTCCTTTCATGTTATGTTGAGAAATCCACAGGCTTGGTAGACCTCAGGTAGGACTGGAGATAGTGCCTGAGCAAACCAACGAAGATCACGTTGTTCAGGCCTGCATGCATGAGTGCGTGCGTGCGTACGTGCATGCATGTTTGTGCATGCACGTGCCCGTGTGTCTATCCCACCAACTGAGCTGCCTCTCCTCCCCTCCTTCCCATTCTCTTTTGAGATAGGATTTCACAACATAGCCTAGGCAGACCTCAACTTCACTGTCCTCATCTTCCTGCGTAGTCTCCAGAGTCCTGGGATTATCACACCTATTTCTGTCTCTTAGTCTACCGTGGTCCCGGAGTTTGTTCCCAGACTGTCTTTACGGATGATCACAAGTTGGCTGCAAAGGATACAATTTGATTTGAGTGTGTCCTCATTTGTGTACAGTTAGAGAAAACTTTCCCAGAAGACCCTGGCAAAGCATCCCTGCCCCGGTAGGTAGACCACCTCTGATGTGTGACAAAATTTTTCCTAGGGAGATGCTATACCCGTGTCTACTTACCTCAGATCAGGAACCATGGCAGATTAGTAAGGATGACATTAGAGTCCAACTTGGTTTTACTGGCTGGGCTCGCTTACAGGAATATGGGTGAGCAGTTACTTATAGGAGTAGGAATGGCTCAGGGAGAGCTGCATCACTAAGGGCCACCCCAGGATGGCTGATAAACTCACAAAGCTGAGAACCTGAACCATATTGCACAGCCTGCAGGCCGCTCAACAAGTTGGGGTGTCTTTTCTGTGTGCCTCAGTTGGCCTAGTCCTCTTCCAGCAGCTGGTCTGGTCCGGGAGTCTGCTTTACAGCTTTGCTTGCCCGAGAGCCTTCTTTTGCAACAATCTTTGCCTCTTCTGCTGTTTACTCTGGCAGGGAGGGGTCTAGAGAATCTGGTTAGTTTCCAGGATTCCCTGACGCTATTCCCTGCAGGATGGAATGTTTCAATCTCGGAAGAAACTGTCAGGAAACCATCTCTTAAGACTATAACCCAAACTAGCGTGGTGCGACTCACTGGTTGGCTGAAAAGAACTATGGTGAATTGGAACTAGGTTACCCTCTCCCTGAAGCACAGCTGGGAAGGCACGTGGAGAAGACACAGGATGTCCCCTATCTCTCTTGGTCATCCTCATCAGATAATCTCACTTAGTTTTTTGTTAATCTTGAGGCCAAAGTCTTTCAAATTTCGTCCTTACTAGTGGGAAACCTTAGACCTACTGATTGAGATCAGGAGAGGTCTGAGTTTCCAGTGCATGTTTGCCTATTCAACCTCCGCCTAAGAACTCAACAGCAGGGACATCTTGAGTTCTACCAGCCCTATCTCCACAGGTTTTGCCTGGGATGATGAACATGGTCGAAGAGGGCAAACCTGGCACAAACCATTAGGACCTGAGCACTCATACAGGAGAAGATACACTGTTTAAGAAGGTCGGGGAGCAACTATGAGGGTGTAGGATAACTGGATGGGTGGGTTTTGACAGGGATGAGGGAATGAGACTTGAGCTGGGCACAGGATGAGGGTCAACAGGTGTGCATCACTCAGCAAAGACCCCGAGGGCTTTTGTGAACCACAGGAAAAGAGAAAGGTACCAGGGTCATGTGGAGGATTGGGACCACATCTCCTCTGCAGCTTCAACTTGGTTGGGTTTGCCTTCGTGGTGCTGGGTCCCACTGAATAGTAAGTCTCTTTGGGGGGGCAGGTAGTTAGTAATTTGGGGGCACTGTTAAGATGGCAGGAAGGGGAACTAGGGAGATGGTTCAGGGGGTGAAGAACGTGTGCAGGCATGAGGACCTGGGTTTGAGTCCCCAGCGTCCATGCAGAAGTTGGGCATGGCAGTATGCATTTGAACCTGGGAAGGGCATAGGTGTGTGTGTCCTGGGAGCTCACTGGACAGCCAGTCTAGCTGAAATGGCAAGCTCCAGGGCTAGTGAGAGACCTTGTCTGAAAAAATGTGAGTGGGTTGGAGAGATGGCTCAGTGGTTAAGAGCATTGACTGCTCTTCCAGAGGACCTGGGTTAGATTCTCAGCACCCACAAGGCAGCTCACAACTGCCTGTGACTCCAGTCCCAGGGGATCTGATGCTGTCTTCTGGCTGCTGCAGGCTCTGGGCACGCATGTGCTGCACATGTAGGCAAAACACTCAAACTAAAAATGTAAGGTGAGAGACATAAAGACACCTGGTGTTGGCCAGTAGCCTCCTCATGTGCATGCACAGGCTAGGACACGCACACAGATACACAGACACACAGACACAGACAGAGAGACACAGACCGACACACACACGATGCCCAGAAGAGGTAAACTGAGGCACAAAGGAGTCTATACATATATGTGTACCACCTCCCTCCTCTCTTAAGGGAAACAAAGTAAGCATAGAGCTGGAGACCTAATCCTTTGCCCAGGGAGACCTAAGACTGGGATTTCTGAGTGGCAAACTTCCAAGGAAGACCCCATGAACATTACACCGGTTTGTGATAAGAGTGGTGACTGTCCTTTTTATGCACTTTCTACCCTCTAGATTACTCTGATGGCACTCTGTGGATGCCTCCAGGAAGTTGTATGTTATAGATAAAGCCCTGGATTTGTAAAAAACTCTGTACTCTGACCTCTGTGTGGCCAAACCTGCTGTGCACCCTTGAAAAAGTTACTTAACCTAATCCTGTACTTGAGAAACCCGGGTGAAGAGGTGAGAATATCTATGGTTGCCAAGCTTGACTGTTCATGTATGTGTGTGGCATGATGTGTGTATGTGGCATTTGTGCTTGCTAGTATGTATGTGTGTACAACAGCTTGTGGGAACCAGAGATGGGTGTCAGGAATCTTTTCTTGACCATTCTCCACATTTTTTTTTGTTCTGTTTTTTCTTTTCAAGACTGGGTGTCTCACTGAATCTGAAGCTCATCAGTTCAGCGAGGTTGGCTGGCCAATGAGCTTCAGGGAAATATCTGTGTGAGGCTAGCTAGCCAATGTGCTTCAGGGACTTATCTGTGTGGGCTGGCTAGCCAATGAGCTTCAGGGACTTTCCTGTGCCCACCCCCCCAGCCCTAACACTTTTTTTTGGTTTTTGGAGACAGGGTTTCTCTGTGGCTTTGGAGGCTGTCCTGGAACTCGTTCTGTAGACCAGGCTGGCCTCGAACTCACAGAGATCCGCCTGCCTCTGCCTCCCGAGTGCTGGGATTAAAGGCGTGCGCCACCAACGCCCAGCCCCAGCTTAAGTCACAAGCAGTCAACCTAGCCAAAACAGCAAGCTCCAGGTTCAGTAAGAGTCCTTATCTCAAAAATAGAGGGGAAAACAATAGAGGCAGACATTTAAACATGTGCACAAATGGGTGTATGCAATCCCAATCACGCATGCACGCACGCACGCAGCAGCAGCAGCACCACCACCACCACCTACTACTACTACTACTACTACTACTACTACTACTACTACTACTACTACTAAAAGAGAGAAAGAATTTCAGTCTTGAGATTGACGAGTTTGTACTGAGTGTCCTGGACCAATAGGATACATCCTTACTACCAGGCTAGGTCATGCAGAGTAAAACCAAATGTAATGTAGCTGTTGGCAATGGTCAGCAGTCATGTCAGAAATGTCCCAGACACAGCCCTTATGGCCTCCTTCACAGCCAAGTAGCTCATTTCCATAAGGAGCAGTCCTCCTGGCCTGGTTCTCTGCCTGGTTGGCAACAGGCAGCCTGGGTGAGTGGAGCTTAGCCATGTTGCTTAGCAGGCGTCTATGGCGGTTTGAATGAGAGCGGCCTCCACAGGCTCACATATTTGAATACTTGGTCTCCAGTGGGTGGAACCATTTGGGAAGGATTAGGAGGTGCCCAGAAGGAGCTCCTTGGAACGGCACCCCTAAACTTAGACATTACTTCTCAAAGATATCCTAACTCGAGAAAAAAATAGAACACACACAAAAAAAAAAAAAACGTTGAACAACATAAATGAGCTACGCATTACTCGCCAGGAAGTGGTAGAATTCTTTCTGTTACCACAATGCTACCATTTGCTGTTACTTCAAGGAAGTGATTAGTGGGTTTCAATTTTAAAATAAACAAGCCAACCAGTCAGTGACCCTTCACTAAATTGGCTGTTATCATCATGCTTAATCACTGCCTGGTAGGCTTATGATTCTCTTCTGAAAACCCGCCATCAGCAGCTGGCAGCCGCTTGCTCATACTGCATTTGCTTAAATTTGTCTGTTAATGGCTGGTTGGATTGCAGCTTTCTTTCTTTGACTGGTAAGTAGTGGTAACTCAGGCCTGAACAAAAGACTGTAGAGGACTTTGACAGGGAACACGCTCAGTGTGGACCAATCTTCAAAACTGTTTTAATATCAATGATTTTTAATTAAACCTTTTGTAGTAAGGTTATTTTTATTTTTCCCCCCAAGACAGGTTTTCTCTGTGGTTTTGGAGGCTGTTCTGGAATTAGCTTTTGTAGATCAGGCTGGTCTCGAACCCACAGAGATCCGCCTGCCTCTGCTCCCGAGTGCTGGGATTAAAGGAATGCACCACCACTGCCTGGCTGTAAGATTAATTTTAATGATTAAAAAAAAACCTGAAGTATGAAATTGGGTGAAAGAGGATGAGGAAAATCACTCTGCGGAAGAGATGACCACAAGTATCTGTGGCTCTGTCTGTCACCGCCCTGCAGTCTTCCGAGTCTAAAGCGTGCTCACAGTCATTGCTGCTCAGAGTCACGCTGCCTTTCTCACTCCCCGCCGGGAAAACACAACTGTGGCAAAGAGACTCCAAGCTGGCATCTCCAGTGGTCCCCTAGGCAGCAGGGACATCTGACACAGCTCTACAGTTTGGGGCCACATCACAGGCTGAGCGTCTTTATACTTTTCAGTTTTGTTTAGAATCTGTCAGGATGTGTCTCAGATGCCTTTGCCAGCCTGCCGGCTTCCTAAGGGCTCATCGGGCTGGCCGTGTCTTTTACACTGTGAGGACAGGAGGCTCAGAAGCTAAGAGTCACAAAAGTGGAGAAAACTAGTGTCTGGTGGTCAGAGATACTGTCACATGTACACAGTCTCTCAACATGCATTTAACCTAAACACACACACATGCCATCTTGAGTACAGGAAGTGGCTTTAATTTGTCTCCTTAATTTGTTTCTACACTTTGTGTGCACCAGAATACAGGTGCTTCTACCTACTAAGTCCTCTCTTGGGCCCTATTTCTAAAAATTAAAACACTCACCCACCTATTCAAGGATAGTGTATAAAAATTATGTAACCTACCGGTCTTAGTCCATTTTGTGCTGCTGTAACAGAATATCACAGTTTGGGTTATTTATAAAGAACAAAAATCATCTGGCAGGGCTCCCAGAACCTACTTAAAGAGAGAAGGAGAGAGCTGGCCCCACATGCCCACTACACGTAGACTATGCAAATGCATGATAATCAATAATGGTAATGTATTTTTAAAGAATCCACTTGGCCCCTGGTTCTGGAGACTGAGAAGTGCAGCCTGGGCAGGCTGAAGCTGTTTAGGGCCTTCTTGCAGCAGCATGACGTGGCTGAAGGCATCATGAAACAAAAGAGCCAAGCTAATACAGTAACGATCACAGGAGTGGGCTTGTTAAAAGTTCTCATAAAGGTCCCTTGTAAAAGCCCTTTTAATGCCTCCTTTTTGTTTGTTTTTTTGAGGCAGGGTCTCACTCTGTAGCCCAAGCTGGGCTCAAACTTACTATGTCACCCAGCCTGGCCTTGAACTCAGAATCTTCCTGCTTTAGCCTCCTGAGGGATGGGGTTTCAGCCCTGAGGACATCCTGGATATTTGTTGCACACTAGGTATTGAGTTCCCAGAACGTGAATGCTGGGGGCACGTTGCAACCACAGTACCATTTTTATCTTAAGTCTAGCCCTTGGACACCTCCAAGAGGGAGTAGGGTATCTGGTTGGAAAGAAGGGAGCAGGGAGGCCAGAGAATGAGGCTTTGGTGTGGGGAGACACCACAGAGCATGCCACAGGCAGGTGGGAACTCCTAAGCCTATATTAAAGGTAGAAACATAGAAGTGCCTTGGAGGGCATTGTAAACATCACTGTTTAAAGCAGCCCATGGGCTTCTCAGCTGTGGCTTGAGTCACGTTGAAGTTCCTAGCTCACTCTCCTGAGGAAACTGGGAGGCTCGGAGAGCTTGAAGCCAAAGTTCCATGGAACAGAAAGAGAGAAGCGGCTTCCTGGCAGGAAGCTCAGAGGCTGAGGAGCCTTGGTCTGTTGGAAATCTGGGCTGTGCTTCAGCTGAGGGGTTAGATTCCCTTGATCCTTATAGCAGACGAGGGAGTGGGGATACAGTCATGGATGAGCAGAAAAATGGCCTTGAGAGGGGTGGGGGTCACATGGGGAGTTTCAAATTCACAAAGGCTGAGGGAAAGATGAGGACACTGGCTTAGAGAACTGCGCCCCAGAGATCCCAGCCTTGTGGTTTTAATTACCCAGTTAGTCATTGGTTTACTGTCATCCAATTTTAATAAGCTCGACTGTGGCCTGTGAGAGGAAAAAAAAATTACCCAAGTTTATTTGTGTTTTGCCACCATGGGCTGTGTAGCAGCCTGAGGTAGGATCCTCCAAGGCCACCAGACCTGAATAAGGAGAGGTTAGGGACCCTGGATGGCCTATCTTTTCTAGCTTTGGAACCATGGTCTTGAGTGCATGGCCTCAGGCACTAGCCCATCCAGTTAAACCGGAAAAATTTAAGAGCCAACAGTTTACAAACTGCTCAGGAAAAGGTTTCAGCGCACAGAGCCTGTGAAGGCAGGGTCTAGATTTTCAAGCCCTGAAGGAGGGTGGTTTGGGTGGGGGGCTGGGACCCCGATGATGCTAGATTGCTCACCTAGCTTTACTCAGGAAGTATCAGAATCCCCAAGGCCCCCAAACCCCTGCCAATGCCTGGGGAGGAGCGAGTGTGCCCGGCTGGCACCCTCGAGGGCAGAAATAGGCAGGGTTTTGTGCCCCTGATCTTGGGGCAAAGCCGGAGTTCCATGTGTGCAGCCTCAGCTTCTGAGATGAGGAGCCCAATCCTCCTGACTGGAACACTCCAGTCCTTGTGCTAGTCACAGCAGGGTGTCCTGCTCAGCTCAGCTGTCTCCTGGCTTCAGCTTCCCTCCTGAGCATCTGATGGCTCTTGGTTTTCTGTGACTCACTGCTGTTAGATCTGTCCCGGCTGGCTTTCATTTCCAGTATTTCACTGTAGCTGCTGCGACCCAGCTCCCAGGCAAGACTTTCCACGCCAAGACAGCCAGGCTAGCAGGAGAGGAGACCACCAGCCCATCTGTCAGCCTTTGAATAATTTCCCACACACACAAGTCTCTCTGCCACCTGGGCTATTTTCGTTTCCTTGAACTGTGGAAACTAGTGACACTGGCCAGGTTTTTCCTTCTGTGGTGCTTCTTATCACCTGCGCATGTCATGAGCTCACCACACTGGTTTTTCTCTGAGGCCACCTCTGAGGTGGCTTCCTGAAGCTCCAGCCAACTTCCTGTTGTCTTCATTCTGTTTGTCTGGGTTCTCAAGGTGTTTCAGTTCAGTCAAAATGTAAGGAGCCTGAAGTGGGGCTAGTCTGGGCTACATCGGGAGATCCTGTTGTGAAAAACAAAACTCCAATTAATCAAGTAAACAGACAAACCAACAGGACAACCGGTCTGCATAGGACTGTTTGACTGCTGGCTGCTTGCTGGGTATCACATTGCCCTGGATGCCCAAGTCCCCAAGAGGACTGTGGAGGGTCATGCAAGGTGAACTCCATCTAACAGTCCCCCCCCAAAAAACCCAACAACAACAGAGAATCCCACTATCAAATTTGCAAATCTGCATATCTATCCCCAATTTTGATGATTCAAAACTCGTATTTATGTAGGTTCTGAGGAGTCTTATAGCAATTCCTGTTCTCCTTTTGAGGTTGCCATTTCCTAAACCCAGCATGGTTCTGACCACTACTCTTTTAATTTAATACCATTTTATAGCCTCAAAGGCCTAATTAATGTCTTTTGGACTGTATTTTAGGAAATTATCTGGCAGTAGTTTTCAAGCTACCTGATCCTTAGGACTGTGTTTAGGACGTAAGTGGCATTTTGGGTTGCCACAAATCTTGTGAACTGCTACTGGTGTTTAATGTGTGTGTGTGTGTGTGTGTGTGTGTGTGTGTGTGTGTGTGTGGTGTCTGCCTGCACATGTGGGGGTGGGGAGTGGTGGTAATTAACTTCCGGCAGGGCAGCCTGGTTTTAAGCCAAGAGAACCTATCCCTCCCTAAGGCCACTTCATTCTGTGGCACACTGGGGAACGGGTTAAATATGTACCCAGCACAGGGTTTTTGAAGGTCTCTGTGGTTGCGATACCCCTTGCTGTCCTTTGGGCCCCCCTCATCGTTTTTTTGTTAGGTGCTGACATGGACTGTTGGGTCCCGTCCTGCTTCCCCCACCCCCCATCCTCAATTCCCAGTTCCTGGAGAGTGTCCACTTTCGGTTTTTGTGGGTCTGAGCCCATTTGGAGCTGGCAGAAGCAACCAAAGGGCTTTGGTCTGTGGCTTCATCTGTTCTGGAGGAGAAGAAAAGGGTGTGGTTCAATTGGTCCCTGGGGAAGGCTGGGGAAGCAATTTTATTATTTTAAAAAACAGCACCAGCTTCTCAGAGTGGAAAGAAAGAACCCATGGCTCTAGCCTCAGAGAAAACACCTGGTGCCTCCCCAAGGTGGGGAGACTGGAGAAGATCCGTGAGAACAGAGGCGACCTTCCCGTCATCCCAGCGTAAGGAGACTGCAGCGGGAGGCCCCCAACACAGCCAATTTGCAGCAGAATCACTAGACTCTTGGTCAAAACAGAGAAGGCCTGTGACAACTGGCTTGTGTGCAAAACGACTCAGCGCGTGTTTTATGAAAACAAGGGGTGGCTCTGGGGCAGTGGCCCGAGGCTGGGGGTGGACCTCAGGCCAGGAGCTCACGAGGCTCGCCCCTGGCCTGAGTCCTAGCACCTCAGGGCAGTCCAGGTAGCTTAGCAGCTGCAGGGTCCCCGCGGGGCGTCCGCAGGACACAGGTGAAGTCTGGCTTTGGACCCTGGAGTAGGATACTGGGGAGGACGGACACGGTCAGCCTGCCCGCGATGGTTCCTCCTTTCAGTTGAGCTTGAAGTGGACTGCCACGGAGCCCAGAGCAGGAGGGCAGCCCAGGGATGTTGGCTCGTGGAGTGTTTGGACACGTGCCTCTCTCTGCTTCCATTCCTGCAGGATGTGTGCGGCAAGGGAAGGAAGGCCTTTTACAGTTTTTGAAAGTGACCTTTAGAGCGATGTCCTACCAAGTGTGCTACTCAACCGGCAGATTTTACAGCCCCAGCCCGTGAGCTTCTAGAGAAAGGATTTTGGTTATAGTGCTGGAGAGTTGCCGGCCAGGAGAGAGGTCTGCTGCTTGGGCATGAGGCTTCCCACAACCACCGCTGTTTCCCCTTTAAAAACCCCACTGAAGCAAAATTTTGTTGATTTTTCCCAGTGTTAGAAGTTATCACTGGTCCTGCACACCTGTAATCCCATCACGTGGAGGCTGAAGCTGGTAGGTCATGAGTCCCAGGCTACACTGAACTACACAGAGAAACATTGTATCAAAAACAACCAAAACAGAAAATCCCAAGAACTGTAAATATTTAAGGGATTTGGAAAAGGCCCTCCCAGTATTAAACGTTACCACCCATTAAGACCATTTGACAGTTTGCCTGGTTCTCCGGCAGAAGGTAACTTTAAATCGCTGTTTCTTATGAACTAGAGCCTGCACATTTATAACTACAAACTTAGATGACCCTGCATGGAAAAGAGAGAGGAGGAATTAGACACATTCCCTGGTGCAGACAGATAAGGGGGGGGGTGGCTAGGTAATAAAAGTTGCAAACCTCAGAGATAGCCAGTTTCTTCCTCAGCCTCAAGTGTGGCAGTTTCTGTCTCCCACCAGCAGGCCCCTGCTGACCGGCTGGTTCAGCAGGTTCAAGACTGGATGAGGACATCACAGGTCAATTTCAGACCAATCAACCATTTCATATGTCTTCAAACCAATCAACCATAAATCAGGCGGATGAAACACGTTAGAGGCTTAAGAGACTGGGATTTCCAGCTTCCTAGGCCCCCTCTCTCATTAGCAGAGACCCCTTCCTGTGTGTATCTGCTGCACGTGTGCGCCTCACCCCCAGCAAACACCTTTCTTCAGCTGCTGACTAGGTCTGCGGTGTTCGAGATTTCTCTGCTGCTACCTGGTGTGATGCAGATTTCACCCGGTTCTTAATTCTTTAACTGGCCAAGGAAACAGACCTGATCAAGACCTCAGATCATACCATTTCCAGACCCCTAGACTGCATCAGAAGTTTAAAATGTAAATGACTTTTCTGTTCAATAGAAATGCAAATCACGTTTGTCAAGTATGTAAAAAAGCCCTCGCCAAATATATAACCCCAAAGGTTACAGTTTCGGGGTCCCATGGGACTTTATTCATATTTAAAATTTTAATTTTGCAACTTAACTTCAGCCTTCCTTTTGTTCTCTGAGTACATATTCACTGCTCCTTGTTTTCCCATAGATTCTCTAATAAATGAATGATGTGAATCATTGACATACCCAGCACCTCTTGTCAAAACCTATATTTCTCCCCCTCCATAGTACATGGCATGCACACCAAACACCTACTGTTGACTCTCTGGCCACCCCGCTGGCCACAGCACTCATCCTTGGTGTATGGCTCTTCCTTTATTACCCAAATGTGGCCTCAAAGGGGCCCCGCGATTTCTGACTTTGCCTTCAGAGTGATCCAGTTCCTAAGAACTATTTACACGTGTCTATCCTTCCAATCAAAAGCTCTTGACTCACCCTCTTACCCTTCCTAATAACTTAACAGTTATGCAATTAAAGGTTAATCATTATATAAATAAAAGTATATCACATTGTTGGCAGGAATGTAAATTGATCCAGTCATTATGGGAAACAATATACAGGCTCCTCCAAAATCTGCAACTATAAATGCCCTACGATCCAGCAACACCATTCATGGATATATATATCTAAAGAAAGAGAAATGAATGTGGAAATGAACTTCCAACACAGGTGACCACTGACAGGTGAATGCATGAGGAAAAAGTGGATTAGGGGTGTGGCTCAGAGGTAGAACACTTACTTAACCATGCTGAGGGTCCTGAGTTCAATCCCTAGTACTGCAGAACAGGAAAAAAAGAAAATGTGGTCTGTCTATCCCAACCAAAAAAAGAGAGATGAAATCCTGTTACATGCTGAGACATGGCCGGAAGTAGGGGAAGGTGATGGTGAGGGAAATGAGGTACAGAGAGACCGATGCATTAAAGAGTTAGATGCTTTAAAGAGTTGTCTTACAAGTAAAGAGTAGTCAGGGGCTACAAGAGTCTGGGAGGGGGCAGAGAAAGGGGAGAACAGGAGGGAAGGATGGGAGATGCTTTTAATGGGCACAGGAGAACAGCTGGTTAGAGAATTACTTCTAACATTCTAGACCAGATCTGTTAGCTATGGTTAAATGCAATGAACTAAATACTTCAAGATAGATAGTTAGGATGATGAGTATTTTAAGACAGGGTTTCATGTAGTCCAGGGTGGCCTGAAACTCACAGTGTAGCAGAGTAGGAACAAATTCCTGATCCCCCTAGGTCTTGGGATCACAGACTAGACTCATCACAAATGATGATGTGACGCTAGGGAACAAACCCGGGGCTTCACGCACACCAGGTAAGTACTGTACCCATGGAGACACATTCCCGGCCCTTCCTCAAGGATTTTTCTAGGAAAAGATTCTAAGACAGTAAAGCAATGTTTAAACTTCTAAGACGTTCTCAATTCTGCGAGTGTGGTCAGAGTGGGGTTTGTGGAGGGTGATTGTGAGGATGGGTGCTGCGTACATCACTAGGTGGGCATGGGGTCCTGGGCTGCCCTGGGTGGGGTGAGAAGGAACGCCACACTTTGGCTGGCAGCTTTTCTCCTGGTTTTCATAGCTCTGGCCAGGAACCTCACGTAACCAAAGCCATATGTTCAACTTGGATTAATTAAATGGCAGCCTCAGCCAAAATTCGATGCCCCTTCTGATGTTTTCTGTGTTGTAATGCCTTTAATTTTTTGTCTTTAAATATTTGTTAATGGAAGTTGTTATATTTAGCCATATGGTGTATTCTATTGGTCTGTAAAATTTAAACATTGAGAGACTTTTGGTCCCAATTTTAAAAAATGAGGACTATTTGTGGCCTTTTCCATGAGAACATGCTCCTCTAGGTTGGACTCAAAGGGTATTCAGTTTTGATTTTAATGGGAGATGACTGTAAATTTTGTGGGCTTTTTTGGATAGATTTTATATAACCTAGATTGGTTTCAGATTCACTATGCAGCCAAGGATGACCTTAAACCACTGGTCCCCCTGTCTCTGCTCACTGTAGTCTTAACTGGTTAAAGTACCAGTCCTTATTTGTCACCCACTAAACTTCAGATAAAATAAAGTCCCTGCCTTGTTTCTAGTCCTGAGTGTCTTGGCACCCAGGGTAGCAAGGCTCAGGGGAAGAAGAGACCCTTATCTAGAGATGGATATCCCAGGGGCTACACCCGATGCTGTAGTCAAGCTGTGTACAGGCAAACCCCACTGTGACACTAGGTTGTGGCTCTCTGCAGAAGCAATGGTTTTATAGGCCGGCCCATTTCCCTCTCCCACAAGGATCACCACCAATGCTGGTGGTAGAATAACAGGTTTGGTCATTTTTATTGGGTGTCGGGGACTATAGGTTGTCACAGTTGTTGTAGTGAGGAAGAGTTTCTGGGATTTTTTGTGAGTTCTGTTTCAGCTTCTGCTGTTTTGTTTATTATTTATTTTGGACACACAGTCTCACTATGTAGTCTGGGCAATCCTCCTGCCTCAGCCTCCGGAGTACTGGGATTATGGATGTGCACTATGATCACTCTGGTCTCAGCTTCTTGTACAATATACACAAGGACAACTTTTACTTCTAGACGTTGAGTGTGCAAAGGCCAGCTATGTTTCTAGAAGTTGTTTTGGTTATGATTTCCTACACACTTAGACCAGGCATCCTTCAGACACAAGCAGGGCTCTCCTTGCTGTGTAGCACCACCAGGGTTTTCCTTGGAATGGGTCACACAGGTTTATCTCTGAAGCAAGGTGGTGTAGGGTCATGCTGGTCCATGAGCGCCTGGACCTCCTTGTTTTAGTTACTTTCTTTGTTGCTATGATAGAGGACCAGACAAAAGATCCTTAGGTAGGAACAGTTTATGGTACTTCACAGTTAGTTCATCAGGAAGCCATGGCTGCTGGTCACATTGTATCCACAGTCAGGTATCAGAGAGATGAATGGTGGTGTGTGTGTGCTCTGTTTACCATCTTCCTTTTTATGTGGCCAAGCATCCCAGCTCACGAGATTGGTACTATCCACATTTAGGGTGGGTGTTCCCACCCTTACTAACCCAAACTAGAAAATATCTCACAGACCTGCCCAGAAGTGTGTCTCCTACAGGATTCTAGATCCTGTCACATCGACAGCCGCTATTTACCACCACACACAACCTGAGGCTGAGCAGACAAGGGTCCACTTCAGCTGGTCTGTGGGGCCAGGCTGCCCTTTGCATTTCCAGGTACCAGCTCACATACCCTCTCCAGCCATTTTTTACATGAAGCCCTGTGATCTGGGAGATTTTTCTCCCCCAGGGTTTCAAGAAAGAAACAGGATTCAAATGGCATCCCTCTATTTCTAATTAATACTGGAATAATAGTATTATCGTATAAGATACTTAATCAAACAAGCCTTTTTCTGAGGTTCTTCCCCACTCTACAGCAACTCTTACAAAGAAAACACTTAAGGTGTCAGCTCACCGTTTCAGAGGTTCAATCCATTATCACCACAGCAGGAAGCATGGCAGCATGTAGGCAGACATGGTGCTGGAGTAGTAGCTGACAGTCCTACATCTTACAGTCCAAAGGAAGTTGACTGAGACACTGGGCAGTATCCCGAGCACAGGAAACCTCAAAGCCCACCCCCCACAGTGACACACTTCCTCCAGAGAGGCCATACCCACTCCAACAAAGCCACACCTCCTAGCAGTGCCACTCTCTATGAGATTATGGGGGCCAATTACATTCAAGCTACCGAGTGCTCCCAGTTCTGATGGAGCTGACTCACCTAGCCTCAGAACTGCCATCGGCACAAGCCTCGTCATCAACTGTGCATTCAAGGCTAGACGTGGGCCCAGGTCAGACAGACAATGACCAGTCCCTGGATATTTGCTATGGCTGGTAGAAAAGAGGGGCTAGCCTGTTCCAGTGTGACCCTAAGGCTGCGAATGGCCGTCTTCTCGCTGTGTGGAGGTAGAAAGGCAGTTAGAGGAAAGCGACTGAGAGAGAGCAATTGCCAGGACTACTGAAGCTAAAGGCGCCCCGAACTTCCAGTACAGCAGACTGGGAATACATGTTTATAGTATGTCCATTGAATTAGGACCCCCACACACACCCTTGTTATAACTATGGAATCTATCCCCACCACACTCTCAGGGGAAGAAAGGGCCCATGGGCATCCTAGTTATCATCAACAGAAGCAGGGCAGGACCCAGGAGGCAAGAGCGGACGCAGGGTGCTGCTTGGTAGCTTGCTCCCTCTGGCTTGCTCAGCCTGCTTTCTTATAGAACCCAGGAGCACCGGTCCATGGATGGTCCCACTCACAATGGGCTGGCCCTCCTCCACCAGTCACTAATTAACAAAATACTCTATAGGCTTTGCTTTCTTAACTGAGGTTCCCTCCTCTCAGACGACATTAGCTTGTGTCAAGTTGACTAAAACTAACCAGAACTGTGGGCTTGCAAGATTTTCAGTTCATAATGGAGTATACGCCTAAGAATTCTTTCCATGTTCGAATTCTTTCCCCACTCAGACCTGCGCCTGCGGTGACTGTGGCATTGGCCATCCAGATTCCAGCCCACGAGTCTGAAAGTAAGTCATGGAGTCTGTGTTCTATTTGAACGGGTTTTCAAGTCTTCAGGCTACACAGGACTTCTGTGGGACAAGCAACTTCCTGCCCAACCCAGGCAGCAGTGGGAATTAGATTGAGTTCTTAACGACTCCACCTCCCCATCCCACACAAATGATGTAAACAAGATAGAATCTACTTTCTTCTCATATAAATAAAATCTGCACGAGGGCTTTCTGAAGCTGTCAACAGTGTGGTATCATTCTAGCTTGTTCTCTCGCCACCCTCAACACTGGGCATATCCTTCCCTCCTCTCCCTGGGATAGCGTGCTCTCCTCCACACACACACCGCTTTCCCTGACATCACTGCAGAGGGAACCACCACCAGCAAGGGAGGCTGGGAAAGGTGTCTCGTTTCTGTAGATTCCCAGGGAGCTCTTAACTGAGGAAAGAGAAAGGTAAATGGAGACTGTGGTGGGGGTGGGGTGGGACTCTACAGCGTGTTAGCCTAATGTGCCACAGCAAGAACCCTTACAGGGTTAACCCCACAGCTGGTGGGGCCGATGAAGCCCCTGGGCAAAAGGATAATTGATTCAGACAACTCAGTAGACACACCCCTCCCTGCTGCGAAAGCTAAGAAATTGGCTTGGGACCTCAGGGGAAACCTTCACTATTATCTGTCCTGATCACTCACAGGTCACCACCCAGGTCAATTCCACAAGAACAGCTGGGTTTACAATAGTGTGAACCGGTTCAGGAAGCTTCCAGAGAGCCCTGTCCTTACTTGACCCCATCTGCCTGAGAACAGACAATAGCAGCTTTCTCCGTGCCAAGGTGGGGCGGGGTTTCTTGGTGTGACATGGAAGGGGGTTTATGAGCAACTGAGTGGTGTCATTCCGTGTAGGAGGGCCTTCTAAAGCCCAGGAGACCTGTACCTGGATTTCAGATACTATCTCGGTAGGCCATTAGCAGCCATGCGACACACGCTTACCTTCCCTGTTCACTGGTTGTCATCGGAGAGTGCTCCCACATGGTACTCGGTTCAGGTCCTCACATGTCATCTGCGTTACTAACTACTCGTTCAGTCTCTGCTGTGCACACAGGAGCTTGTAAGCACTGTGGGAGGTCTCGGAGATGAGAAGAAATCCTGTTCCTCCTCTCACAAAGTTCAAGCCCAACAGAGACAATAAGAGTCGTTTCAAAAGTCTCCTTGTGACATGGGAGATTCCAAAAACAGGAAAGTTCAGGAGAAGGGGAGAACTTCTGCACTTACAGTCAAAGTGTCTCGAGAGGCTGATTTCTCAACCCATGGGTGTGTCTTCCCGAAGAGACGGTGAGGGTAGGACAGGGCTTGGGGCTCACAGGTGAAAGCCATGCTTGCACACAGAGGCTCGGGTAGCTCCTGTCAATTCCAGGCCCGGCCTGCTTTCTAGCTGAGCCCTACCTACCTCAGTTTACCGTCTCCCAAGGGGAGCAGTTGTATGTGCGTCGCCTTTATTTACACTCTGCACTGTAGTAGCTTCCTGAGAACTGGGTTTTAGTCAAATCTTTCTTGGAGATGTCAGTGTGATGAGACTGGCTTTTCAAAATGGCTGATTTTGCTTTGAATTTATCTTTCTTGATTTTTTTTTCTGATACTCAGTTTATAGATGTAAGGCAGTCACCATCCCTTCTTTAGGAGCGGGGTCCTCCACACTGTACAGCAATATGTGGTCCTCGAATATGTCCACATACAGTTTTCTCTTATTTGTTCACCTGGCTTTTCATCCTGTGTTCATTCAATGTTTACCAAGTGCCAGGCCTTAGCTTGTGAAATTCTTGTCTCTATTTGCTATCTGGAGGGTTTGCATTATCTTCTTTCTGTGTAATTAGCTTCATTTCCCAAGAGTGATTGGCACTTGCAAACAGATGCTTCTTGGCCCCTTTTCTGATAGCAGTGACTCAGTTGTTCACGGAGGCACTTTCCCCAGCAAAGCTTCACATGTCTTTGGCCCAGGTCAGTGTCCACCTTTCTGGCCTCCTACAGGTATTCCTATAGGCCATAGTATCTTTACTTAGTGCCCAAGGAAATCAGAGCCACCTAGATCTGGCGAACGAAGACCCAGGTCTGAATCACCTCACAGGCCTAAATGTAACTTCCTCCCCTGGGTCAAGGGAAAGGAAGCTGGTAAGGAATGCCGATTGTGGGTCAGGACTAAGAGGAAGCTTAGAAGGAATGGAAGCAGAGTTTATCCTTAGTGATTGTGGGTCAGGACTAAGAGGAAGCTTAGAAGGAATGGAAGCAGAGTTGTTTATCCTTAGTGATTAAAGGAAGAGAGCAGTACAAGACAGAAGGAACTGCATTTGATGTGTGTGAAAAAAAACTTAGAGATTTTGATTTTTGATTGACTTCAAGCTCAGAATTATATGTCTAGGGAGGTTGGTGGCAGCCCATCTGGCTTATTACCTGTCAGACAATGAATCCATGTTTTAAGACACGCTTTAACATGGAGAAGGATTCCTAGAGGATGTTAAAGTGTGTGAGAATCATATCACATAGCCTCAGTCCGTAAACATGATATAGGGATGTGACCATGTTCTTCAAATGCTTGGTTAGGTGGGAACGCCCCTGGAGAACTAATAATCAGTCTATAAACATGATATAGGGATGTGACCATGTTCTTCAAATGCTTGGTTAGGTGGGAACACGCCTGGAGAACTAAAGGTAGAGATGGGCCCTGCCATTCTTAGATCATGGTCCCGTTACCTCAAACTCCCCTTCCCTCTATCCCTTCTCATCCTCCTGTCTTGGAGGTGGACTCATCCCTTCCTCCAGAGACCGACCCCGTCTCCTGCGAGGCATACCATGATGATTCAACCTCCAGAAATGTTCAGTTCTCTCCTTCCCTGAGAGACGACGGTTTGGCCTTCACTGGGTTCCAGGTGCACAGTGATTAATATGACTTATCTCAGCCTGTCCTCCGTGACCCAGCGAAGCAGTTGGTGCCCTCTGTACACAGGTCAGGGGACAGTGTTTGTCACGTCTCTCGAAGCTGCCATCAAAATGTCTTACACACGCAGGTCAAAGTAGTGAGGGTTTATTGTGCTCATGGCTTCTGAGGATTCAGTCCATCATGGAGGGAAAGGAAGGTTTTTTTCTAAATCCAGTCAAGTTGGCAATGGAGACCCTGACTCTCAGCATTACAGATGTCTAATGACTTCTCCAAGCTCACACAATTACAGCGAGGTGGAACTGGGATTCCGTTCTAAGTCCATCACCCCGAGAACCTTCAGACTCACCTTCATGATGTTAAACACTCACGTTTCATTCTCACCTGGTACCTTTAAAGACATCTTTCTTCAAGTACCACTGGCCATTTTAAGGAACCAGAGAGCTCAAAAATGCTGGATGCAGAACTCTGCAGAGCTTCCCCCAGAGGCATGCAAATGATGTGGTCTGAATGTGTCTCTGTTAATTCATCAGTTAAAACTTAACCTTCAAATGTGACAGATTAAGAAGTGTGACCTTGAGCAGGGTGTGTTGGCACATACCTTTAATCCTAGAACTCAGGAGGCAAAGGCAGGCAGATCTCTGTGAGTTTGAGGTCAATCTAGTCTACAGAGTGAATTCCAGGACAGCCGGGGCTGTTACACAGAGAAACCCTGCCTTGAAACTGCCCCACCCCCAAACAAAATCACGACAGGCCATAATTTTTACTTCTCAGATGTGCTTGTGCCCAATGTGAACCACAGTTGTTGTCATCGTCATCATCACCATCATCATCACCATCACCAGCACCATCCTTATCACCAGCAGTAACAAGATTTTGCCTCCCGTGGGTCTACATTCTCTTCCCTAACTTTTCCAGAGCTTGGCATACCTATTACAGGTAACCAAGGCTGTTTACCCAGTATACCAAGTGGCCCTTCCCACAGATGCTCAGTACACGCCCCAAGATACCCGTGAAGCACTTATTCCAAGAGCAGGTGGATTCACTCCCTGTAGATCTTATTCCAATTTAGTTCACAGCGCTTTGTAAACACCCACTGAGGCCAGCTCTGAGGGATGGTGGGGTTAAATCAGGCCAACCTGCGGTGCTTGATGCCCTTGTGGATTATGAGGACATAGCCTGAGCATTCTGGATGGAGCCTAAGTGCTCTCTCTCTCCCTCTCTCTCTCAATCTCTCTCTCTCTCTCTCTCTCTCTCTCTTTCTGTCTCTTTGTCTCTCTGTCTCTCTCTCTCACACACACACCTCACACACATATACCACATACACACCTCTCTCTCACACACACAGAAACCTCACACACACACAGCACACACACACTGCAGACATCTCTTTTTCACACACACCTCACATACTACACACACCTCACACAACCTTTCTCTCTCACACATACACCTCACATATACCACACACATACACACACCTCTTTCTCTCTCACACACACACACCTCACACACACCATACACACTCTTCTCTCTCACACACACACACCACACACACCTCTCTCTCACACAAACACACCTCACACACACACATATCACACACACCTCACAGACACCATACACACATACCTCTCTCTCACACATACAACACACACACACTTCACACACACACCTCTCTTTCTCACACATACACTCACACACATGCACCTCACACACACACACCACACACCTCTCTCTCTCTTACACACACACACACACACTCACACTCACACACAAAGTGCTGGGGTCTAGTGGGAGGAGTTTAAGTCCTGGAGTGTGCCAGTGATGAGATACTGGGACTCCAGCCCCTTCCTCTCTTTCTGTTTGCTTTCTTCCCCGTGGACCCACCATGACGTACTGTGCAGGCGCAGGCCCAAAGCAACAGTCAAGAGACCTTGGGATGACCCCTCTGAAACTGTGAGCCAGAGCAGCCCTTTCCTCTTGATCATTTGTTTACTCCAAACATTTGTACCAGCCATGGAAAGCTGACTAACAGACCCCAAGCTTAGTTCCTGCCCCCAAGGGGAAACCCTGTCACCAGACATGGCATGGTGGTCACTGCAACTCCATAGAAACATTTAGTCTGCAGAGGTCTTGTACAATGTTCTAGAAAAAATTTGATTCAACATGTATGTTGAGAGAATCAATTTTATGGCGTCTTTGGGGAAAACAAAATCAGGAGAGCTCATGAAACTGAATGGACAGTGTGGTCAGACAGAACGTGTGCCTGCAAGGTCCCCACACTCTCTGCTACTCCCTCACACGGAGAGCAGATAGTCACCCTTGCGCTAGTATTGCTGACCCGAGAGAAGGCTTCTCTGCATGGTAATTGCTATCCAGAGCGATTCTCCATATGTGCACCTCCGGACTCTCAGCAACCCCGCTGGAAGGATTCTAGACTGGCCAGGGCTTTGTCCGCCTCAGGAACAGGGAGTGAAGAGTTAAAAGTGAGAGTGGCTGACAGGCCTGTGATACTGGAAGGGATGCCTGAGAGGCTGCAGGACTGAAGGACAGACTGCCAACAGACTGCAGGAAATATGGAGACGGCCACTCAGCCCTGCCAGGACTCCAGCTCTCCTTTCCTTTCTGCCCATCTCTGCCCATCTTCCCACAGTGGCGTCTTTCTCTTCACCGGAGATGCCCGTGTCACGAGGTGAGGATCATGGCCACTCACAGGCCCAGTTTAGAAATAGCAGACAAAAGCTCTTTCTTCCTCCGCTTCCGGAAAGCAGTTCCAGGGACAGTACCTGCCTTTTTGTGGGTCATCAACCTTAGACTGCATTCTTTCTAAGTTCCTGGTGTAGTTGGTCCCTGATTAAGAAGGTGACATTACCTATCTAATTTCTTTTTAAAATTGTGAGTAGAGGCCAATCCCCTTCTCTTACAAGCAGAGAAACAGACACAGAAATTACGGAACTATGGTCAACAGAGGCTGGATGGCACTGGAGTAGCAAACTTTGCTTGCTGCTGACCATTGGTAGGCCTTCTAGGCCCCTCATCTTCAAGGAGCTTGACCAGGGGCCTACGAGACAGTTCAGCAAGTAAAGGTGCTTGCTGCCAAGGCTGATGACCTGAGCTCAATACCTGGAGCCCACATGGCAGAAGGAGAGAACTGACTCTCAAAACTCATCCTCTGAACTCCACACAAGCAACACACACACACACATGAAAGTAAAACGTACAAAAGAAAAACTTGGAATGATTCAAGTGCTAATTGGGATG